CTAAGGGTGAAAATGGTGTGTGTTATGTCGAAACCGCTGCTTTGGATGGCGAAACCAATTTAAAGCAACGTAAAGCTTTAGAAGAAACAAATTCTTTATTGAATTCTCCTGAGTCTCTATCAAAGTTCAAAGGTACACCACTATGTTCTGTGATTGCTATATAAATTATATAAATTCTATAATTATATTCAAATTCATTTATATATATATTTTTTTATTTGATTTAATGCAGGAAAGTTATACGCTGAAGGTCCTGATGATGATTTATATAACTTTAATGGTTACCTGAAATTCAATGACAAAACTTTACCGTTGACCAATAATCAAATTTTATTAAGAGGTACTATACTGCGTAACACTCCAGAGGTCTATGGATTAGTGATCTTTACTGGTGAAGAAACAAAACTTCGTATGAATGCATCCAAAAATATTCGAATAAAAGCTCCTAACATGCAAAAAATAATGAATCATGTCATTCTTATCATTTTCGGCTTTGTTCTCTTATTGACTGCCGTATGCACTTTCATGTTTTCATATTGGTCAAATGATATTAAAGAACATGATTGGTATTTAAGAGGAGGAAATAGAGATATGTCTTCCGTATTTTTTTCTTTCTTGATTATTTTCAACACTATGATACCGATATCTTTATATGTAACAATGGAAATTATTAAGCTTGCTCAAATTTATTTTATAAATAATGACATACGAATGTATAATGAAGAAACTGATACTCCAGCTGAATCTCGTACTTCTACTATTAATGAAGATTTGGGTCAAGTTAATTATATATTCTCCGATAAGACTGGAACTTTGACTGAAAATATTATGATTTTCAGAAAAATGAGTGTTAGTGGACAAAAATTTTTACATGATAAGGATGGTAACATAATTGACAATGACGAATTATTAAAGTTGTTATCCATGCCTTCATCAAATTTAAAGAAGAGACCTACTATAACTTCAATTTCATCTTTAAAAAGACATAAGCATAGGGCTTCTTTGTGTTCTGATGACCATAATGATAACGCTGATGAAATCATGCCAGTAACTCGCCAAAATTCTGTAACTAGTACCAATTTTTCTATGATTGCTCCACGTCCAGCAACTCCTTCATCAAACACAAGATCTAAAAAAACATTAGAAGATAATTCAATTTTAAATACAATTGATTTAATGACTTTAATACATTATCTACCAAATTCTTCTTTTGAGCAACGCGTAAAATTTTTTTTGCTTGCCATGGCACTATGTCATACATGTGTACCGGAAATCGATAAAGAAACTGGTGATATAATTTATCAAGCTGCTTCACCTGATGAATTTGCTATCGCTAATGCTTCTAAAGACTTGGGATACGTCATCACAAATCGCTCTATGGGAAATGTTTCACTTAGAATTAATAATAATATATTTAATGTATCTGATGAAAACAATGTTTTAGATAAAGACAATGTTTTAGATAAGAACAATGTTTTAGAACAAACTTTTCAAATATTAAATATATTAGAGTTTTCAAGTAAACGTAAGAGGATGTCTGTAATATGTAGACTCCCCAATGGTAGAATATCTTTATTTTGCAAGGGTGCCGATTCTGTTATTATGGAACGACTTCGAGTTGCAAATGAAAAGGATGCGACAGGCAACAAATTTGATGTTGACTTATTTGATACTGACTTGGGGAATAATGGATCAAAACTTGTTGATAATACTCATTTTAATTTAACATCAACGTTAAATAGTAATTCTCCAACAGCGATAAAAACTGATGAAATTGTGGATAGGGCTGTTGATTTATTTCCCATCCTAGATGATAATTTGATATGTCAACAAACGATACAACATATTCATGAATTCGCAATCGAAGGTCTTCGAACTTTATTATATGCACATCGTTATATTGATGAAGAAGAATATGTATCGTGGGATAAACAATTTCAAGAAGCTTCAAATTCTTTAACAAATAAACGAGAAAATCTTGAAAAAGTAGCAGAATTAATAGAACGTGATTTAGAAATCACTGGTGCAACTGCTATTGAAGATAAATTACAACATGGTGTACCAGAAACTATAGATAAATTACGTTTGGCTGGAATAAAAATTTGGATGTTAACCGGTGATAAGCGTGAAACTGCAATAAATATTGGACATTCGTGTTCACTTATAAAAGATCATTCAATAATAATAAATATCGATAAAAACAATACTTCAGATCTTAAAATGATCAATATATCAAAGGATAAGGCATCTCATATTGTAATAGTTATAGATGGTGAAACATTATCGATAATCGAACAAAATGAAGAACTTATGGAATGTTTTTTGGATTCAGGAACCAAATGTGACGCGTTAATATGTTGTCGAGCGAGTCCATCTCAGAAAGCACTTATTGTTCGTAGTATCAGAGAAAAATTAAAAGACTCTGTTGTAACATTAGCAATTGGAGATGGTGCGAACGATATTGCGATGATACAAGAAGCACATGTAGGAATAGGAATAACTGGTCGAGAAGGTCTACAAGCTGCCAGGTCAAGTGATTATTCAATTTCACAATTCCGATTCTTAGAAAATCTTTTATTCGTTCATGGTCGATGGTCTTATGTTCGAGTATCAAAGTTTGCACTAGGAACATTATATAAATGTATGTGCTTTTATTTTACGCAAGGAATATTTCAAATGTTTGCAATATTTTCTGGAACTAGTTTATACGAACAATGGACACTTGCCGCTTACAACACTTTATTTACGTCATTACCCGTATTGGTTGTTGGAATATTTGAAAAAGATTTAAATTACGATACATTAATGGCAATTCCAAGACTTTATAAAAATGGACAAGAAAATA